CAGTTCTAGAGGAGATGCAGTTGTGTTGGCAGCAAAAGGGAGTGTTACTACCGGTGGGGAAAATACTTCTAAGAAGGGGGATCTTCAGAAAAAGATGGATGACAAGGACAAATTGTGATGTACTCATTGCCAAAAACCCCGACACACCCGAGACACATGCTGGGATCTTCATGGGAAGCTGAAATGGGCTCAAAATCTGAATAAGATGCAAGATTCAGATATGAATAAAAAGTCAGGACAACAAGGTACAAGAAAACACACTATGACAAACATGGCTACTTAGGATAATTAGCCCCCCATTCATACTGTGACTCAGACACATCCATCTGGATCTGACCCAAGGGAGGATATTATAAATTCCTTCCGTGTTCATTTAGAGCTCTATGGTAGAGCAATTAGTCAGATGGATGCTCCTCCCCCAACTTCATTTGCGTCTACATCAGGTAACTCTGCCACAACTTTCCATGTTGCTTCTCATAACCCTGACACTCCCTGGATCATTGATTCCGGAGCGTCAAAACACATGACTAGTACGTCCTCTTACTTTTAAACCTTTCACCTTCTTTCTGGAAGAGACAAGGTGAGACTAGCTGAAGGATCATACACTACCATAGCTGGTCAAGGAACCATTTCTCTCCCTCTCGACCTTACCATCTCTGATGTTTTACATGTTCCAAAATTTCCCATTAATTTGTTCTCTGTTAGTAGTATTACTAATTCCTTAAACTGCTCAGTGACCTTTTTCCCTTCTTACCGTGTGATTCAGGATCTGGCCTCGGGGAGGACGATTGGTAGAGTATGTATGGTTGATGGACTTTACATGCTAGAGAATAAGGCTGGTCTTCAAGTCACAGAGTCTAAGAGTCAGTCCTGTAAGAGTCAAGTTTATTTATGGCATTGTCGTCATGGTCATATATCTTTTGAATCTTTGAAAGTGGTGTTTCCAGAATTGTTTAAGTCAGTGCCCGTTTCAGATTTCTCTTATCAAATTTGTCAATTGAGTAAGCAGTGTAGAACTCATTTTCTTTCAAAAAATAATAAATCTGAATTTCCTTTTCACATTGTTCATTCTGATGTGTGGGGCCCTGTTACTTTACCATCTAAGAGTGGCTACAAGTATTTTATTACCATTATCGATGATTATTCTAGATATACATGGGTATATCCCATGCAGACCAGGGATGAAGTACCAAAAATTAT